AAAATAGATTACTAATGATTGGAGGTTTTGTCATAGCCCTGATCAAATGTCTTTCTGGCAAATCAAGGTCACTGACAAAGAAAAAAAATGTTTAAGCATAACCTTGTAATTAAAATTTACCGGAGGCTCATGATGGGAAGACAGGTTGTTGACATAAGAAAGTGCAGTGACCTTGACCCAAGGTCTGTACTTTCTGTCCACAGCTCCAACGGAAGACCTACTCGTTGCTTTGCAACGAGCTCGGCTCTAGTTATTTCAATTGTTATGTCGACACAATACTAGTATACAGTATCCCGGTGAGCTTGAAATAAAAGATACCACAGAGTCTGACACATCAGTTTCATATTGGATATATTTACAAGAAAAAATGTAATTGGTAATCTAGCTTTATGATAAAACTTTTACTTATTAAATCGTCCGTCGAGTTACCTTACTTATGCAGCAATATATTCTTTTCACCTGCATATGGAGTTTATATCTCTCAGTTGATTCGATAAACAAGAGCATGCAAAATACTTATGAACAATTTCTAAACAGAGGTTAGTTATTGACAATATGATGAAACAAGAATATCAGGAGTTTCGTTTAAAATCATAATTTGGTACGTTTTATAGTCAATACAATGACGTATGAAACGTATACAATCAAACCTAAAGCCAGTTACTGACTGACGTTTTTCATACTAATTGTTAGGCCATTATTTACACACTGAATTGTCGACGGCTTTTTCCTTTATTCCCCGATCATGACAAGGATCGCACGGCGGGTGTAACCGGTCTACAGGGGATGCTCACTCCTCCATGGCACCTGATCCCACCTCTGATGTTTTTGGAGGCTTTGAGCTTGAATACTATAAATGAAAGGACACTTTGTTTTGTTTGACAACAGTATAAAACGTAGGATAATTTGGTAATTTGTAAAACTAGTAAATTCTGCTTTTTCCCCAGAGTTTTTATTTAGAAGATAAATTAAAAAAAAAAAAACAATACTGTCTTTTTCGATTTACCATTCATATATTATATTTTAAGACCTCTGTTTTCAGCTTATTTCTAGTTGTAGAGGCCATGATTGTACAAATATTAATCTAATTTACCTTAAAGGTAAGTTTTCACATTAATTCACCTTAAAGGTAAGTTTTTACATTTAGTTTCGCTTACCTTTGGCTGGGGCCTCATGGGAGATCTTTAAAGGACCAGGTCCTATTTTCTATATCTCGGAATATGATAAAAGCGGAGGCTTTCATTCGCAGAAAGTTGAGTTTCCTAACATTTTAAACTTTAAGATTTAATTGGCCCTTAGGTTTAAGAAACAAGAAAACGTGCATTAAGCAATGCTAACATTACACTACAGATAAACAGTGGTCAGAAAAGTTCTCTTGAGATTTCAGTTTAACTGAAAAGTGAATAATTCTCAGAAAGCGTTTTTTTTATACGTGTTGTACAAGTGAAATTAAATGAGCAAATTTCCAAAAGAAAGGGAAAAAAATCTCACCTGGAGATAAAAATAACCTCAAAGAATGACTTACATTTCCTCAGAAAATATAGTTCATTCGCTTTTCCTTCAAATCTTTACTTGACATTGTCTGTTGTACGTATCATTGTTTTTTAGTGCTTTGTATGGAATATGAACATATAAGGAATATTATCAAGTGTAGAAGTCCATAGGAACAAAACTAATTGGGAACAGAGCAAACCAAGACTTTTGAGGTTAAATAAATTGAGAAGTTAGCATATCCTGCCCGTAGGTCCCATCCGCCGTTTGCACCTTGTCATTATCGGGCAAAAGGAAAACTGCGTAGACAATTCAGTGTAAAAATAATGGCCTACAATTTTTCTGTAAAAAGTAAGCATAACACTTGACGATGGGTTGTATTTGCTAGCAATATCATTGTATCAACCATATAATTTTTGAATTGCTGCCTTAAATATACTCTAGAAGCATCAACTTATTTGTCAATATTTTGCCTTGTTTTAGAAATTAATCACACGTAGACCATGCTCTTTTGTATGAAATCAATGGGATACATGAACTCCAAATGCGGGTTATAATGAAATTGAATTTTTTTAAAAAGATAAAATACATAATCAAAAGAAAATATAGTTTTTAATGCTTTAAAATAGTATTGGGGATATGAATGATTAGATCTAACCCTTGATCGGGTTTCTTTTCTGGCATATATGAAAGAAATTAGGTTAATTAGTATCAGAAAACTTTAGTTAAAAGAGATGAAAACTATTCTCTTAATTTGATAGTAAAATGTTCAAACAATGTACAGTTTACATGTATTCTAAAATTTGATGAACATCAAATATTATTAAACATGATTCTGTGTGACTCTCATTAATGCTGATTGGTTTTATAAAACATTGTGTAAGTTTAAAATGATAAATCAGTCATAGTTTTACAATTTGAAAATTCTTTCTGATTTAACTGTCTTACAGAGTTTTAAAATTGATGTTTTGAGGAACCAATACAATCTTTTATTGCAATCCTGACATGGTATTATATATATCAGTTTTTCAACATCAGTTATAACCACAAGTTGATTAAACAAAAGGTGCTACAGTCAATATTTGAAGTTCAATACTTTGAATATATCTGGAAAGTCTTCATGTCCGACACAAACCATATCCATTTCACAGTTCTAAAAATATTAAACTTTCAAATTGACACAAAAACCTTACCCCCCCCCCCCCTGACATGTTAGCATCATTTTTATAACCCCGCTTGAAAAGTGGGAGGATATACTGTAATCGGTATGTCCGACCGTCTGTCTGTAAGTCCGTCCGTCCGTCTGTTACGCTTTAGGGTACCCATCTCTTATCCGCAACTCCTCTTATACCACTGAGTGAAATTTAATGAAACTTTCAAAGAATCTTTATTACATATAGCCATTCTGCACCTCCTATTTTACTTTTTGATCCGATGCATATTTTGGGTTTCCCGGCCACAACAAAACATGGACTTTGTCATCAGTTATAACCATATAGGAGGCGGGGGCATCATTTAGTGAGCTCATTGCTCACAGTACCTCTAGCTGTGCATAACTTTTTTTGTACGTTGAGATATCAAGAGATATATGGCATGTATTTAGACAATATCTCACGACATGTTGAGACAAAGTAAATTATATTCACTGTCTAATGTTTTAGTACTGGATGGTGCTATGTATCTGGTCATTGTTTTTAAATCCATTCAATAGCGTTTTGTTACATAAAAAAGTGAAGTTGACAATATAAAAGTTAGTTTGCCATTAATTTTTTTTCTTGTAAGGTATGCAAATATGAATAATATATATTAATTTCACTTCAATATTTATCCATAACGAGTCATTAATATAATTAATGTCGAAATAGCTGTATCTCACTTCTTTTTTCAATGACCGTGTAGTGTACGGCAACACAGAGAGAATTCCGTCGACCTCAAATACAAGTTTTTGACTTGTCTTATTGGCCGAGCGGTCCAGCAAGCTTTAAACTGGGAGCTGAACTAACGACTAACAGGAGTACTACATCTGTTTAAAGGAGGGTAAAGGGGGTTATGGTAGAGAAAAACATCTTATACCTAAATATTTACATTTACTTTGTTTGACCCTCATAAAAAACATGATAAAATAACAAGTGATAAATACACATAACACACAAGACCAAATTACCGAAGTCTGTCTGGCGTATGAATACAGGGACTACGCCATTAAAGTTTTTTTTTAATCAATATTTTATTATGTAAAGTAAGATTACATAATTGGATTGGACATCAGGCATGGCCTATGTAAGTCCTCTCCAAGGTCAAGGTTACAAATGTTAAGAACTGACAAAAAATTACAATGATGAAAATATTCCTTAAAAGTTACATTAAATTCTTTTGTTAACTAATGGTGGGAAAAAGGAAATAAATTGAATTAAATTATACAGAAGAATTATTACTAAGCTTTTGCATATTCGCTATACAATATAATGACAAAAATACCGAAATATCGCGCGTTACTCAATTTGTTTGCACACATCATTGCGGTTATGAGACTGCATCTTTCAAAAAATGATAATTCATTGCTTAAATGAAGCTTTTTCAGTACTCCAATCTAGACAATTAAATGATTACGACTTAACAGATATTTTTATAGTAAAAATTTTTAAAAAGTTATGTTGATATATGTTCCTCCCAAACTCTAAAAAAGTCCTGGATCCGCACATGTCTAAGTGCATTAAACTGAATACACTTACTGATAAGACGACGCCTAGTGATAAGTATCCTTTTCTGTTTTCTTCTGCTTCTTTATTTTATTTAAACTATTTTCCATACCAAGGCTGCTCAGGTATGTAGACTTTCTCAACACCCCCGTCTGATGAAATCATAGTAACTTTTGATGCCACCTGTTTCCTTATCTTACGAATAGAAATTGCTGAATTATGAAGATTTTTTTTGCTTTTCTTTTTCTTAGTTAAAATTTCATTTCAACAGTAAAATAAAATTTGGAATGTGGTTACAACTGATTTCATATAAATTCCCTTTGTTTTATATTTCTGTGCTAGTAATCTCAAATGCATTGCACGCCATTGATCGAATACAAAGTAATGCTTGCATTGCATTAGAACTATAATTTTTTGTCAAAAAATTTTATTTTCTTCATAAAAATATTTTTTTATTTCTTTTTATTTTTTATTTTTCTTTAATTTAACTTATTTAAACATCGAAGTAGGATTCATGATCACAACCGCCCCTTACACTGCCATGATATATTGTAAGTTGTGCGTTCGGATTTTATGTCATAGCGTAATAAAAAAAGTCCCATGGAAACAAGATAAACCATATTTTTTGTGTTCAAATTAAAATTGTCTATAATATTGTTGCATGAAGTATATGTCCTAAGATTTGTCTTAAAGTTTGTTATACTTATATATTTTTGTGAATTAACTTGCGTACACACTCTCTGCTTTGAGGTTTCATTTTTGCTTGTAACTGCAGGCCAGCATTCACAATAAACAACATTTATACGTTCACAGATAGAAAACATGATTGTTTAAAATTTAATTCAATGGTAGAAATATTGAAGAAGAAGGAACTTACTGTAATTGTCTAAAAATCTCTACTTGAAAAGTTTTTATTTGTTTGACAAAAATAAAATATCAGATTTGTAATATGTCAGATCTGATTATAAATGATCTCTAGTTCTTGTGTCTGATCATCATCACAGTCTGCTTTAATGCTTCATGTCTACCTTTCCAGTGCCTCCATGTCGGGTATTTATCACCAGTCACAGCTGACATAGCATACAGCCCGTTTAGATTTGAGTGGTGACAGCTGTTGTACCACCAGGCTCCGTGAGCTAATACAGCACAGTTACCACTATTGCTGTCGTTATCCTGGTCTTTAGTGCTAAATTTATATCCACTGTGATACTTTAAACTGTCACCTGTAACAGAGTATAGATAATAAATCTATAATTCAATGAAACAATATTCACAATATCGTTACATGTTAATATTAAGATAATATCCAGTTAAAAATGCCTTCATAATATAAGATAAACATGTGACATCAAGCAAACTCTCTTGATATGAGTCAAGTGTGAGTTTAGCAATGTACTTTGAATTTACAATATAAAATAATTTTTTTCTATTCAGCTAACTGAGTGTTGTAAGCAGAATTAAATTTCTGACTGATTTTCCTATCTCATATGATGATTAGGGATTATAGTTCAGTGTTATGGTTAGTTCTACCTGCGGTTCCTGAATACCCCGATACAGTGAGTACGTAGTTATGGTATTTATCTCCGACATAAAATGTAGAGAACTGAGCGTATGCTTCGTCACCGTTAAATCTTAGTAGCTCAACCCGGAGTTCCTGGTCCTTGTTCTTCGTCAACTCAAAGATTGCGTCATTTCCTTAAAAGAAGGTAAAACATACATATTACTTTAATGTAAACGAACTTTGGAATACTTATTTTATCAATGTAATGCATAATGCACTTTGTTAATATTTTCATGTAAATAAATATTGTATTGCTAGAGAATCTTGTGAGATATTGTTCAACAAACAGTGAGGGACACTGAATTTTTATGATTGTTTTTCATCATTATCTACAATATACCGACTGTTATTTTCCTTTTTGTTTTTTTACGCCCCCATAAATGAAGTTTCGGGGCTGTATAGTTTTTGTTGTGTCCGTCTGTTTGGTGTCTGCATGTCTCTCTGTCTGTCTGTTTGTCTCTTTGTCCGCAAAAACTTTAACCTTGCCGATAACTTTTGATTTAGTGGAGCTATGACTTTATATTTCACATGTGTATTTCTTGTGATAAGGCCTATCTTAAGGTACAACCAAATTTGACTTTTTGACCTTGACCTTGGAGCTTGACCACTTTTGCACAAAAATTCCAAACTTTTTCTTTGGCCATATCTTTTGAACAGTAGTCACAAGGACATTTATACTTCACATATGTATGCTTTGTCGGAACCGGGGGAGGGGGGGGGGGGGGCAAATTGCTTTTCAGTTGATAAGTTGCAAAGTTCAAATAACCACTGTCTGCATTATTGAATACTTATACTTGTTACTAGCATAGTTATTGCTTGCGGGGTTGATATATAGTACTGGCTTATTTGATGAAACTCGTTGAAACTTGAATGTTTGGCACAGGACAGATGTATGGGTATTATTGTTCTGTATAACTACTTAGCAGTTGATTGTATGAATCTGTTTTATTACACATTAATTGATTTATTGTTTTGAATGATTGATTGATTGTAAATTGTTTAACGTAACTCTCAAAAATTTTCCGCTCATATGGAGACGCAACCACTTGCCTTTGGAGAGCTACAAATTTTGTCCTTTGTTAGGCACTTAGGGCCATTGAGCAGGAGGGATCGTTTTAGTGCCATCACCTACTGTGACACGGGACCTCGGTTTATACGGTCTCATCCGAAGGACCGGTCTCCACGCCCCACAGTAGTATTCGAACCCTTGACGTAAGGATTGACTCTTTACTTTGCGACTCTAGAGCAGACGTGCTAACCACTGCGTTACGTGGGTGACGTTTTATTAAGTATTCGACTTGACATATCAGGGCTCTAACTTGCGACTTGTTTAGTCGCCTAAAATTTTAATTAAGTCGCCAAATTGGCCACCATATTAATTTGATTTGGTGATCGTCAAATTGCTGAACTAGAAACATTTTCATTTTTTTTTAAATAAAGAGCGGAATAAAGTACTAAAACTGTGCAATGGACATGTCTCTTGGCCAGCTGTTAATTTGCTACTAGCATTGTTGTACATGTATTTCAAAGACGAACAATTTTACGGATAGAAAGACAAATAACATAGCATTTAACGGATAAAAAGTATAAAGGATACAAATCAGTTAATTGAAAAAATGACTAATATTATAATTACTGCAGCTAATAAAAGTGTACCTTTTAAAAACTACAAAAATAAGAAAAACCTAAAAAAGAAAAAGAAAGAAAAACCGAAGTGGATAAATTATGACTGTTTATTACTAAGAAAAGAAGTAAGAAATCTAGGCAAAAAAGTTTCACGGTACCCTAACAATACTGAATTGCGGCATGCTTTTTCAAATGCTAGAAAAAATTACAACAGACTGAGAAAACATCTTAAATTAGAGTATTACAATAAAATTGCTGAAGAAATAAATTCATTAACACCGAATAAATCTCAGAAATTTTGGAAAAAAATCAAAGATAATAAAATTAAAATGACAGAAGTAGAACCCATAAACACTTCAGATTTTGTTGAACATTATAAAGCCCTGCTAAATAAAGAATATTCACCTGAAGAAAATGAAAAGTACAAATTAAAAACTTTTAATCTAGAACCCCATCCCTTTGATTATGAGTTCACTCAAAATGAAGTTGAAATAAATATACTGAAATTAAAAAAAGAAAAAAGTCCAGGTCCAGACCTGATTTTGAATGAATTTATTAAAGCAGGAAGTGATGTACTTTTGCCTGTTCTCACAAATTTGTTCAATATAATTCTTAAAAATCGGACCATGCCAAAAGATTGGAACCTTTCACTTATAACATCACTTTACAAAAATGGTGACCCAAATGATACAAATAATTACAGAGGCCTTTGTGTTACAAGTTGCCTTGGAAAACTCTTTACTGGAATTTTACAAAAACGCTTAAATTACTATCTTGAATCTAATAATCCTCTTAGCCAATATCAGACAGGTTTTAGAAAAAAACCGTAGAACTACGGACAATATCTATGTTTTAAGAACACTTATTAACAAATATGTATTTAAAAAGAAAACGAAAGTATTTGCCTGTTTTGTAGACTTTTCCAAAGCCTTTGACACTGTGTGGAGATCTGCACTTTTATATAAGATTAATAAAAAAGGCATTGGTGGTAATTTTTTGAAACTCCTATACAATATGTATACAAATACCTATTATTCCTGTAAGAAAGGAAATCAAATGAGTGAAGAATTTTTAGCAAATAGAGGAGTGAAACAAGGTGATAATCTGAGTCCAACGCTTTTTAATATTTTTATTGATGATTTTGTAAAATATTTCAATACGACAGCCACAGATCCAACATATTTAGAGTTAATGCCTATTAACCACATGTTTTTTGCTGATGATCTTATTCTTGTATCTGAGACACCTAGTGGTTTACAGAAATGTATAGATATTTTTGGTAAATATTGTCATGATTGGAAATTGTGTGTGTACATGGAAAAAACAAATATTATGATTTTTTCTCAAAGCACAAATTGTGAAAATGAGTATTGGTTTTACTATAACCATAGCCGTATAGAAATAACAAATCAGTATAAATATTTGGGACTAGTGTTCAAATCTGATGGAAAAATGAAATTCTCAGCAGAACAACTGTCAGAAAGAGCTAGAAAAGCTTATTTGCTATAAAAACCAATTTTCCAGCTAATACAAAATTTTCTGTAAAGACAATGCTTAAACTTTATAGATCTATGATTACTCCAATCATAACTTATGGTTCTAAAATCTGGATAGCAGACTACAAATGTGATTTATTATCCTCAGATCACTTCCCATTTGAAAAAATACAACACCAGATTTTTAAAGACATTTTAGGTGTTCATAGAAAATCATCTAATATTGCTGTTCTATATGAGTTGGGACAGTTCCCACTATTTTATTCGTGTTATGAAAATATGTATAAATTTTATTTAAAACTGAAAAAATTAGAGAGAGAAAATGATTATAATGACCAATTAGTGGTGTCTGCATTTAAGGAAGATAAAACACTGGGATCTAGAATATCTTGGCAAAGAAAGCTTTATACTCTACAACAGAAATTGTCTTTATCCTCATTGGACATATCACATAAAACTTTAAAATATAAATTAGAGGAACATCATAGAAACAAGATCAGTGAACAATTAAAGAACATTTCTAAATCAAATTCTGGGAAATTAACTTTTTATAGTAATATAATTGATTTAAATGAATATAAATTACAACACTATCTAGAATTACCATTGAAGAAATCTGAAAAGACAATCCTAACAAAACTAGGAATTAGTGCTCATACCCTACATATTGAAAGGAGATACTCAAGGCCACCTATTCCTAGAGAAAAACGTGTATGTCATTTTTGTAAATTTTTTATTGAAAATGAAAACCATTTTGTACTTTATTGTCCTAGTTATGATCAATGTACATTACAATATTACGATATATTCAATGCACAATGTTACATGAAGGAAAACCGTATTATTGACATTATCAATCCTACAAGTATTAGAACTGCTAGGAGAGTTTGTAACTTTTTCAAAAATTGCTTTGATTTTAGGAAAGAAACCTTCAACAAACCTGATATGCTTTCTTTGATATCTTATTTCATGTATGTTAATTGTTGTATTCATGACCATATGCCAATGTATGATGGTATTGTCAATAAATGAATTGAATTTGCATTTGAATTTAACCATATGTTTTAAAATTTGGTGCCTAAGAAAAATTTACCTGGCGACTATTATTTGCACTGGCGACTATTTTTTTTTTATATTAGGAACCAGTTGACAACTAAATGTTTTAAATAAACAAGATGATCATTTTGGAAGTATATTTATGAAGAAGGTGCGTCAGGTTTGCAAGCAGATAACGTCAACTACAATAGCGACTGAAAATATATATAAATAACGCATAAATCCCCTTCCCCTGTTTATAAGTTCTGCATTATCAAATCTTCAATATCATGTTTCTTAGACCTATAATTTTTTATAATGTTTTTTTTTATTGGGCAATATCTCTGAAAAATAATTGTTTAGAGTATTTAGGGTATTTTGAAAGATATCTAAAAACTGTATCTGTGTAAATACTGTGAACCTATGGTAAAGTTCTACTCTCACCAGGTAAAATGTTCTGTTTAACATGGTTTATTGTTTTAATATTTATCCTAAACGTCGAAAGGATTTTCTTCGTAGATTTGAAATTATTTTTAATTACGTTCTTGGTTTATAAAATCCTATGATTCATTCTCCTATTTTTCCTGATAAACATTTTGATGATTTTTTTATTGTAAAAGTTGATAGAAAAATTAATGGAAAAAATGTCATTCATTAAATTTGCAAAAGAATATTACAAAGAATTCTTGGCTCTATAATTATTTCTATGTCTTGCATATCTTTTTTTTTAAATCTGTTGCAAATAGTGATATCTATTTATTCTTTTTAAAACAGTATTGTATAGCACAAATAAAATTGAGTAATTCGGTCGAATATTAGGCAAAAGTAGGATCTTGGAAATGATCTTGAATCTCGTGCACTCTTCATGATTACAGGTATCTTATGAAGCTAATTTTTGTAAGTGAATCCAAAAGTGGTTGAGGATTTATGCATCTTTTTCAGTTATGTAGAAGCAGAAATATTTTAGATGTTTCTTTCGAATATTTTTTTGTGTTTATACATTAAAAGTGGCTTTATTCATCAGGATTTATAAAAAGTAACAGGAAATAACAAATGGTTCTTGGTATCGTTTGTGATTGCTTTCTGTGAATACATAAAAAAGCTTCCAAATGTGAAGAAAATGATGCTAAAGTAAATAAATTAATGTACTCATTAACATACAGTTATAATTAGAAATAATTAATTTTTTTTGCTAATGCAAAAAGTCAATCTTACCGATCCAGTAGTTTTTAGAGGGATCCCCAAATCCTTGTTTATATTCTGACCACGTCCTGTAGAAATCTGTAGAACCGTCCTGTCTTCTTTGAATAGCCTGAATCATATTAATTGAGTTTTAGTTCCTTTTACACTCAGCAAACTTGAGTAATTGAAGACTTGTTTACTTAATTATTCATTATAAGATCTTGACAAACACATAATTATGGATTCTGTGTCACGTATAGGGGTAATTCTTTAAAAATAATTTTTTTTCTGAATACACGGAGTAGATGATTTTTACTTAATAAAATTTTATAACAAGTAGATTATCTTTTCTCCTTTATTATTATGAGTTGTACTCACCGTCCAACCTCCCCCATCTGTCGTCATGTCACAGTAAACAGACCTTGACTACAGAGCCTACAAATTCTGTATATACCATGTGCAGTAAACAGACCTTTAACTGAGGCTCACAAAATCTCCCCGCAATCCTTCAGAAGCACTATGCAAAAGATTATAAATTTGTCACAAATAAATGTTTAGAAAATACCTTACTACTGAGTACACTTGTGAACTCCTCCTCCATCTGTACATTGTGTGGTGAAACAGACCTTACTACTTTTTGCTCACACTCATCCCCTTCCTCCATCAATACATGTATTGTGTAAACAAACCTTACTACTGTAGGCTCACACTCACCAAATCCAACATCCTCCATCAGGATACTAACGTGTCACAGTAAACAGACCTTTACTACTATATATATATATATATATATATATATATATATATATATATATATATATATATATATATATATATATATATATATATATATATATATATATATATATATATATATATATATATCATACTTACATTCATCCTCCATTTTTTTTCGTGTCACAGTAAACAGACCTTACTACTGAGGCTCACACTCACCGTCCACCTTCCTCCATCAGTACTCTTGTCACATTTTTTTTTAAGATCTATTTGTTTTGCTCACACTCACCGTCCACCCTCCTCCATCAGTACTCGTGTCACAGTAAACAGACCTTACTACTGAGGCTCATACTCACCGTCCACCCTCCTCCATCAGTACTTGTGTCACAGTAAACAGACCTTACTACTGAGGCTCACACTCACCGTCCACCTTCCTCCATCAGTACTCTTGTCACAGTAAACAGACCTTACTACTGAGGCTCACACTCACCGTCCACTCTCCTCCATCAGTACTCGTGTCACAGTAAACAGACCTTACTACTGAGGCTCACACTCACCGTCCACCCTCCTCCATCAGTACTCATGTCACAGTAAACAAGCTTTTCTTTAGAGTTTACTTTTATTGTGTATATTTAGTAAAATTCCTTTTGATAAAACTACATTTTTTTCCTTAAAATGTCCCAGCATTACCAAAATCAATGATAAAAAAAGGAAAATAGATATTATGATCAATATATGTATATTTTATTAGGTCAGATATATCAGCAATTTTCATTTACACAATATGACGTTTTTCCTACAAATTGTTATCAATTATTTATGCACTAAATTCACGACGAATTTTTCCTATTAAAAAACACATTTTAATCCTGGCAAGAAGTTATCACAGGAAAAACCTGTCGAAAAAATTCTTCACTGCTCTATGGTACCTGATCTCACCTCTGATGTTTTAGAGGTCCGTGTTTCCTGTGTCCTTATTTTGTGTATTATTCTATAGATTTTCTTCTTGAATACTGTTTGTTATCTCGCATATGTCCTGTTTTCTTTAAGCACATACAATAAAGCGTCTTAGCTATTCTTAAATTACCCCTAACAAATAAAAAACATAGGCATTTTTCGTGAAGCGCTCTTGCGCAAGTTTATTTGTGATATTTATACACCATTAATTCACACAAAAATTTTTAAAAAATCCTTAATTCAATTATTGATCTTCATCAAAGATACCAGGTAAGTAAATTTCCGAGTTCCATTTTTATTGAGAGAGGTTTTAATTTTTTTAAAGTTGTTGATTTTGGTGAAATCTTGTGATTTCATATGGAAATACTAATATTTCTTTAGTTGTTGTACGTATTGTCATTTTGTCGAATTTTAATAGAAAAATAGATATGAATATATACAGTCTCTGAAATTATGATTTATATAAATGTGACTCTTCTAAAGATTTGTTTATAAATGTCTCTCTAAAAGGCATAAAAACTAAAAAGTAGAATGTTATCATACCTTTTGACAAGATCACATATATTTCAAAAATCTTCCAGACATTGCAACGCTTTTTTTACAGTAATCAAATAAATTTTCTATTTTTTCATAATTGTTTTTAACACGTTACAATTTTGTGTACACCACTTTCCTGTAATATATCTCCATCCATTTGGTATTTGAGACCCTCAATGTCTTTTGCCAATACACGGTCATTGCTTTTGAAAACCATACTTTTATTACCTATATAATCATCAAGTTGTTTTATTTTTTCTAGGTGATTTTTAGCAAAAAAAAATTGCGATTCGTTTAGAACGTTTATTTTCTCCATTGTGCTTTGATCCTTTGTTTTCAATGTCTGTATTTCTCTTCTCAAGTCACTTTTGATTTTCTTTTCAAACAAATCAAGCTGTTTTTTGAACTCTGCATTTTTCATAGCTATTTTATGATTTTCATCTTGGAAAGCTAAAGTGTTTCTTTTAATTTTCTGGTCAAGAGATTGAATTTCTTCCTTTGTATAGTTTCGATTAGTATTCATCGTACCGTAGACGAGCCTCAATTCCTCTTTAAGTTTGACGTTTTCTTCCTCCATTTTCTGGTTTCTAGTCTTCAAGTCCTGAATTTCTTCTTTTGTTTCGTTTTTATTGTCATTCACCGTGTTATGGACAACCTTCAATTCCTCTTTAAGTTTGACGTTTTCTTCCTCCATTATTAAGTTTCTAGCCTTCAAGTCTTGAATTTCTTCTTTCGTTTGGTTTTTATTGTCATTCACCGTGTTATAAATGACCTTCAATTCCTCTTTAAATTTGACGTTTTCTTCCTCCATTATTTGGTTTCTATTCTCCAAGGCCCGTAAGTCTTTCGTCACTTCACTTAGCTTCGTCAGTATAATTTGCTTATCGTTTTTGTTGTCTATAGCATCCATTACTAAATTCTGTATTTTTTGTACCATAGAGAAGCGGACCAGACTTTCCTGATTCAGAATGTCTCGTAGGACATTGGAAGCTTTACCGGATACAGTACTAGGGAGCAAACCATTTTTATCAGAAGCTTCGTTTTCAATTAAAGATAAATCACCCAATGTTCCAAACATGAACATAAAGAGAAGTAAACATTGTACTTGTAGAAGTCCCATCTTTGCATTAACTTTGGATGTTTAAAGGAGCCCTTTATATGATGTGTGTTAAAGATATTTTGAGATCTTATCAACTCATATAACCTTAAAAGATTAAGTGTTTCACGCTTAAAGGATGCCGTGATACTTGGAAAGCTTTCATACAAACAATGTTATCTTTGTCAAAATTAAAAACATCAAGAATGCAGTGAAGGATATACTAAATGAACAATAGATGTAATAGTATTTTCCCTTAAAACAGGATTTGATACTTGAGACGCTTACAACACAAATAATCTTTGTGCAATGTAAGCAAATTATCCGGAGTAAAATGACTTAAAATTAAACACTTATTAAGAAATAAATAAAATTCGGAAATTGAGAAATTTGTCCGTGACATTTGTCCCTTAAACATATAGTTCTTGATAGATATAACCAACATATCATATTTTAAAATCTTAATTTTCCAGGATCGTATTTGACATGGCTCCCTACAAATACAAACAGTTTCTAATACTTCTAGAGCTGCTATATTTCTTGTAACCTCTGAAGGAGAAAAAAGAATAATGTATTGTATGTACAAGAATTACTGGTAGTAATATCAGCAATATATTGAGAAATACTTGATTTTTGAAATGCTTTCAAATGAGATTTATAAGCAATAAATTTCGCTTATCTGAGGTGTGATGGGTCGATAAAGGATGCTTTTTACCTAGGCACCTGATCCCACTTCGTGCTTCCAGGGACTGTGTTTTGTCTTATTCAACCTTTACACGATGTTTGCTTTGTGCGGAGTACAAATTAAAAAAAACAAAAAACAAAAAAACAACGATAATATTTTACTACAATTTTAAGAGAAATTACATATGTCCTTTCTAAATCAGATATGCGTAAAACGTTTGTTTATATTTATATTGTAAGTGTGTTATATTCGCATTTGCATTTTCTGTTATTTATGACTTATTTATGTTATTTGTTGGTTATAAAATCATTAAGTTTAATCCTGAAAATTAAACGAATTGTTATCAAGGGAATAAAATACAAGATAGAAGAATTTTTTTGTAATTGAAAAAAATATATAGAAATATTAGTACTTCTGTGTTTATATTTCAAACATGTTATTCTTCTAAAATGATGTTAAGGTACCTTACATAATATTAGAAAATATAACAGTCTGTCGCATTAGGTAATACTATTTTTACTTCTCTTTATGCCTTCTATATGCTCAGAATGAGAATTTGTATATATATTTTTCCCACAGCTTTTTATTTTTCGGCCAGAATAAAATAATAAGAATGAATGTAGTTGTATTCATATGTTCCCAGCAGGCGCACAACGTTGTTTAAACGTTGAATATTAGTTGAAGTTGGGTTTAGACGTTGATAAATTTAGTTATTAATCAATGACAAAAAGGTAAGACATGATAATTGGGAGATCCTATGTTTCACTTATTTCTAAATACACCTGGATGCATCTGGATTTGGATCTCCCGTACTTAAAGGTGCAGCATGATAGTAATAAAAATACGATGTTATCAATCACGTGTAGTTAAAAATGAGGTGGCAACCAACAAAAGGCCAACCAACACCTTACTTTTTTTTCAAACACGTATGTTGAAAAATATATTGGTAAAAAACAGTAGGCCAACAAACAAAATTATAATAACATTACGTATATTTATTACCGATGGGACGGTTGAACGAGGTTGTTGTTGGTATGTTTTCCTTTACAAATTACAGAGTGCACAAAAATATGTAGTTTAGGCATTTAGCATTAATACTGATCACGAGGTACCACTTTAAATACCGGTATTAGCTAAACATCGCAAGGTCTCTTATACCTGAGACAATTCATTACATCATCATGCAAGTAGTATACAAAGCCTAAGTAAACGTGACGTTATTACCTGATATACAGATCTTAATTCTAACCAAAAAAATGCAAAGATACATATGAATGCATAAAGCATATTATTCACAATAATATTACATTGTATACTTCCATTGCATAATGATTGATGTTTTTCACCTTCTTTACAGAACAGATTTACGTGACTAAAATTTTCTGTGGACAATTTCTTACGGTATGGTTAAAGCTAAATGACGTATGCGTATCACCAAACCCATCTCGTATCTTGTAGAATTGTTTAAGGGAAGAAATGGGAAGATATATTGTTTTTGTTACCATGACATCAGGAAATTACCAAAAAATAAAATAAAAATTATAGATATAATTGATAAAGTTAACTGGTCAATATAGTTACCTATTTTTCTTGTCAAGCACGAGCCAGATAACGCTAAGGGTGGATTCTACAAACAGAGACTTAATCTTAGAGGTCTGCAAAATCTAATGCGTGAAAAGAAGAAAACACTTGCTTTGGCCTTTAACTCGACATTTAGATATATCGACGACGTATTGTCAATTAATAATGGTAATTTCCATTCCTACGTCGATACGATACATCCTGGTGAGCTTGAGATAAAAGATACCATAGAGTCCGACACTTCTGTTTTATAATTGGATATTTTACTTGAAAAAGACACTAATGGTAATCTAACAACCAAGCTATATGATAAACGTAATGACTTTAACTTTTCTATCGTCAACTCTCCTTACTTATGCAGCAATATACCTTCATCACCTGCATACGGAGTATATATATCTCAGTTGATTCGATACGCAAGAGCATGCTCAACGTATGAACAATTTCTAAAACGAGGTAAATTATTGACAAGCAAGTTGATGCAACAAGAATATGAGCAGTCTCGTTTAAAGTCATCATTTCGTAAGTTCTATGGTTGATACAATTCCCTTGTCAGCAAATACAATTTATCATTGAGTTTTTCATTACATTATTTATATACTGAATTGACGAATGATTTTTTCCGTTATTTTCTGATCACTCAAGGAGCACACGGCGGGTGTGACCGTGTAGCTATGATAACCGGTATATCGATGGCACCTGATCCCACCTCTGATGTTTCGGGGGTCCGTGTTTGCTCTGCTCTTATTTTGTATTGTTTATGGACTTTGAGACTGAATACTGTTCGTTATCTCCATATCCTTATTGAGGACATATCAAATCCTTTGCTTTATGGCTAAAGTATAAGAAAAATATCTCAAACAGTATAATGCCCCGACATATTCATGGCTGGGTGAATAAACAGCGTCAAATCACCTTTAAAATGCTTGATTTAAACTTCAAGTTCAGATACCCTAGACCTTTGTTTCGTGATAATGTCCGGTTTCTGCATAGTAGGTTATGCTGCAATTAAGCGCATTGCAAAATGTAGGGAAAATGTGGTGGTTGCGCAAATTACGACAATTAATACAGCATACTTTAAAAAGACATACGTTACAAAAAAATTGTAAAACTCTACCTCATCTAATCACATCTCCACAAATGCGCTGCAGTGAAAAGAGAGAGATAAATCAAATGTTACCATTACGTCACAAATAGTACAAGAGATATTTTTTTTAAGTTGCTATGTCCATTTCCCCACCTCAGTCCTAGATCTTCGCATGTTAAATGTGTGCATTAAAAGTCGATAGGCCTCATGTTAAGACGGAACCTAGTGATAAGGATACTCCCCTGCTCCTTACAATTATTTTAACTTTCACAGATTCGGTACGTCAATTTTTGATTCTTTTTCTCCTCTACCTAATGTAATGATAGTTACTAAAAATGAATTTGTTTCCTTATCCAAGCATTAGAAACTGTTTAATTATGATTATATTTTTTTTTCTTCTAAAACGCAATATTTAGAACTTTATTTCAGCAGTAAAATTTGGAAAGTGGTAACAACTTTTTCATTTGAAATAAATTTGTTTTTAGGTCACTTGATTCACTCAGGTGACTTATTGCTGTCTGTTTTTGTCCGCCGACGTGCCTAGGGCGTTGTGCTTTAACATTTGAATATTTCCAGCTTCTTCTCTGAAACCACTCAAACAATTTCAACCAATATTGTCATATATCATTTATGGGTGACGTGGAAAACAATTTATGAATTTCATAGTCTGTGGCCCCTGGGGCAGAAGGGTTGGGGCCAAAACCACTAACATTAATGCAATCATTAAAAATCTTCCTCCTTACTCCTGAACATCAAGCAATGAAACTGTTAGTATTATTGTAATAAGCACTGAGTATGCTACAAAGATTGTAAAATTCATGGCCCATCAGGGGTTCTTGTGCTAGGGCGGTGCTATGAAGATCATAAAGTGAAAGTGCATTTTTATTTAAAGATATTGTCTGCTCCTGGGTAGTTTGATAAAGGAAGAGTACCACTTGCAAAATGGTAAAATCTCTTGACCCCTAGGTCAGCTATTGATAATATAGAGAAAAGGCATTAAATTCTTTGAAAATCTTCTCCTCTGATCTTGGGTACTGCTACTACTACGCCTGTAAACTACTGGATGTACAAATATTGAATGAAGAAGGATGTCTTTCACGGCCCCTGGATCAGGGGTTCTGGTGTTAAGACGGGCGCTAATGATTATATAGTTAAAAATGCACTAATTCTTTGTCACATTCTTCTCTGCGCCTGCTTATTTAACCGATAAACTATGTACATTGTGAATTTCATGGCCCTTGGGTCAGGGGCTCTGGTCTTAGGGCGGGACGGTTATGATTATATAGTGAATCTTTGAAAATCTCCTCTGCTCCTAGGTAGGAAGCAAAAGATTTAGTTATGTGATCTTTGAATGGTACATCTTCCAAAATGTGATTTTTATGGTCCTGAGTCAATGGTTCTGGTGTTAGGGTGGTGCTCCATTGATTATGTGGTGAAAGTGCATTAATTCTTTAAAATATTCTCCTCCGGTCCTGGGTATTAAACTAATGAACCATGAACATAGTTATGATAAGAAAAAATGTTTCTTCCAAACTTTGAATTTCATGGCCTCAAGCATTCTAGTTTTAGGGTGGGGCTCTATTGATTACATAGTGAAAATGCATTAATTCTTTGAAAATCATCTCCTCTGTTCTGCAGGTATTAGGTATATATGATAAGTACTCATTTATAAATCAGGAAAGGTATCTCTTCCAAAATAATGAATTTCATGGCCCCTTGGTCAGGGGTACTGTGGGGACGGGGATGGGCCTTAATGATCATATACTTAAAATGAATTTATGCATTGAAATATCATTGAAATCTGCTCTATGGTATTATTCAACATTTATAGTGAGCAAAGGTGCGTTTTCAAAATTGTCAAATATGTGACACCAGGGTCAGTGGTTCCTGTTGGGCGGGTCACTACTGATTATATAGGGAAATGCGTTTTTTTTCTTTTTTCCTGTGATCTGCCTTCTGAGTAATCAAAAAAATCATGCGAAGTCTGCTGTTATGACAAGCAATGGTGCCTCTTTCAAAATTTTGAATTTCATGGCCCCATGGTAACACAAACCAAAATCAATTGTTGGAAAGTTCTTGTTTCGTAGTATACTTTCTGTACTCTTTATCTAAAATGCAATGCATCCCGTATATTAAACTAAAAGTAATGATTGCATCGTATTAAGGCCCTTTCACAATTGGCGCACGAGCAGAAACGACAACATATTCGTGCGACCGAATAATTTTGTTTACGATCGTAAACTGTTTCCAAAATAATCGCATATGAAATCAAAGTACTCAGAAGTACAGAGAGCCGGGCTCATTTACAGAGTAGAATGGATTTCTTACATGAATCACGTTTATATTCTGATGAAAAAATTATTTTAAAACTATCAATATAAATGATAAGACACTGACAGTGAGTTTTTCAATCCTATACCACAGGATTTTTTCAGAATCAGAATAAATCTGTAATTAAATGTAAACAAACAGGCCAGTCTGGTTCCCTCTCCTGTTTACCTCGTATGTGTAAAATAAACACTGATTATCAAAAATCCTTACGCTAATGAACTATGCTCTTTGACTTAGGACTGACGTTTTCAAAGTCATTACTATTAATATTTATAAAGATAAAACTTCGTTTTATTTTTGTTGCTTTATTTAGCGTTTGTATTTAATATCTCAAAAGCGGTTGAGAGTAAGAAACTATATTTTTGCACGTAACTTTAAAATGGCGACTATGGGGTAGATCCTTTGAACAGGAACAAGCCGGCAATTGCTCTTTGAGCAATAAGCCCGGCTAAAAAGTGCTCATACGAAATTCGCACGATCTAAAGCGACTGTTGTGCATTAAATCTTGCGATATATCTTGCGTCTATATGCGACTGTTGTAGAATGAAAGGGAATTTTGTAAGATAATGCGATAGGATTGCACGACTGATCAGGTAATCGGACGATTGAACGTGCGACAATACGATTGGACGCGCGGTGCTAGTGCGCTCATGTATTCCATAGTACGAATGTTCGTGCGAGTCAGAGGGCCGGGTTTATATACCACCCGTTTCTGACGCTCTTAAGTTGACATAGTTAAGATGCTTATAATTATACACGGAATATATACCTGTTGCAAAGAATGGCAACTGAAGGTTTTGCAAGATTACATGTTGAGCAACAGTCTCATGGTCGTAAAACACACGCAAAGACAGCTGCGATTCATCTTACGATCTTTAAAAATCGTGCACCACTCTTACGAGTACATAAAATGTTGTAAGACATTCGTACTAATTTTCGTGCGTTAAATTGCGATAATTTGGATCGCATTTGATCGCGCCTGAATAGTGTGCATGTTGACTATTTTGAAGAGACTTGATGCGACCACTAAAACACATGCAATGAATCATGCGAGACATCGTGCAACGTATGCGAGAGCTCGTGCGAAGCTAAAATTTTCCGATCGCAAAGTGTTGTAAAGTGCTCGTGCGCCAATTGTGAAAGGGCCTTTAGATATATAGATATTTTTCAGGAATTTTACAAGTATTATTTTCTTAACAAAAAATTCTACTTTTTAATTCAGTACATGTGTAATTTATCTTATCCCGAGGCTTCTTTAACCAAAACAAAGCTTACTACATGTATTGCAGCATCTTTTAAAAACAGCATTTTTGTCAGCAGAATACATGAGAGTCTAAAATTTAATTTTAATGTCTACAATATTGAATAATTCGGGACACACATACATGTACGGTAACAGCCTATTACAGGATATTGAAAATAAATCTGTAGTGAAATTAGTAAACAATATGGATTAAGTTGCTATTTCAATGACAAAGATAAAATATGACAAAATCTGTGATAAAATAGCTGGTCTGATAATTAATGATATTTAGTTCTTGTGCCTGATCATCATCTGAGTCTGTTTTAAAGCTTCTTTTTCTCTCCATTTTCTCCATACCGGGTATTGATAACCAGACGCTGGAGACTGGGCATACAGTCCATTAAGGTTTGTGTGGTGACAAGCGTTGTACCACCAGGCTCCGAGATATTGTGTAGCACAGTTCTCACTACCCTTGTCATTATCCTTATCTTTAGTTGTGAATTTATATCCATTGTGATAATCCATACTGTCACCTAAAACAGAAATTAGATAAAACCATAATTTGTAAATTAATAAAGCAATAATCATAGTATTGTTACCTCCAGCTAAATCACCTTTGTCCAGGATTTAAGAAAACATTGTAAAATGAATAAGGTAATAATAACGAACAAATATGTAACGTATTTTTTACAAAACATTTTTATGTAAAAAAAAATAATATGAAAATATATGTGCTTGCAATTACGGTCGCACTGTCAACATATTATGTAATGGGTATATGCATGTATCTATATAGGCTTGTTTTTTTATGTATATGAGAGGAAACTGGTGAGGCCTTAAAGATATTGAAGAGATGTGTTTTTAAATGCGAAAAGGTTTCAATGCGGTTTTACTTGCATAAATTGTGTTTCTGTTTAATTTATTCCTTAATTTTTATCCTTTTAAAGAGTACCTATTAAGAAAATTTTTCAAACACCAGGATTGCTCGTGATTCTTGCTGATCACCAAGTAAGTTTTCGAGTTAAAGGAGGGGTGTATTTTGATGTAATTCTCTCCCTTTTCACATGCTCAAAAATGAACATATTAACATGATCATCTCGAAAGACATGTGACTTTCACTTCTAATGCTAAGCGCTTGGCGAAGGAACAGTCACTACCTATGTTTTCGTCTTAGGTTTGACGCGGCACCAGGATTTGAACCCGGGCCTTCCAATCACGAAACAGAGGTTCTACCACTAGGCTACCTTGACCGGTTAATATTATTATGAGTAGACTCACCTGCGGTTCCTGAATATCCCGACACGGCGAGTACGTATTTATTGTATCTATCCCCGACATTAAACGTGGTATACTGTGCGTATGCTTCATCGTCATCAAAACTTTGTAGCTCAACCCGGAGTCCCTGGTCCTTGTTCTTTGTCAACTCATAAATTGCGTCATTTCCTAAAAAGAGGTATAAAAGGCATATAAAATTACGATAAACATATTTCTAATACATAAATGTAGTGTATTGGAGGTACAAGGGGTGGGCTTAAGGCGATAGCGACAACCTTATTCGGCCCCGTCCTATATCTAAGATACCTTTTTCTAAATGACTTGTGACAGGACCTTTATTGACTTTCCGCACGATGCTGATGTCATTTTACATTTTTTAAAGTAACTGGCCTATTAAACCCATCGGCGTTTAAAAATAATGCAGTATTGGTGATTTTGGTATATATGGGTAGGTTAGAAATAGAACTTTCCGATTCCGATCAGAAAATAAAGATTAACTGGTTTTTATGGAAAAAATTTTCGACAACTTTAAGCTGCCTTAGTCTATAATGACGCCACAACTACCCTTTGACGTCATCAGGTAACTCGACTGACATTTTATAACTGTCTGTAGAACCTTAATTGACGAAAATGCTAAAGTTTAATATTGAACGTAATTCTTAAAGTATTTTTTCAAATATATCTACCAAAACAAAAAAAGTATCAGTAGGCTTTGTCGTCTAAAATTCGTCCCCTGGCAAACTGGTTCTAGGGTATGATTTCCCTTCGGGAAAAAATCCAGGGTTGAATTTCCCCACTTTAAAAATTACTCTTGAATAGGATTTCATCTTCAGAAATCCCCCAACACATTAAATTTTCTAAGGGAAAATCCTACACTGTGTAATAGTTATAGAGTGTATTTTCCTCATTTAGAACAAATTTTCCCCGAGATATAGATTGATTGTATATTGTTTACCATCCCTCTCGAGAATTTTCCTGTCATATGGAGAGAGACCACATGATCTGCACCACAAGCTGGTGTAGATATCAAATTATGTCTTATGCTCAGTACTCGTGGCTTTTGAACAGTGAGTGATCTTTTTCGTTTTATACGGTCTCATTCGAAGGTCTGGTCTCCACGTCCCACAGTGGGATATTTACCCGCGATGTAAGGATCAACTCCTTATCTTGTGACTAGAGCACATTTCCCAAAATAAATATGGTTGTTTAAATGGAAAGTGCTTATATGTTGTTACAAGTGTCCTTTCTTTGAAATATCGACCAATGATGTTGAAACATTTAAATAATGAAAAATGAAAATTTTAATATCATTTTTCTGTAACCAATTTTTTTTCAGAAATATTCTTTTTCTTTCATCTTGTCAAACAACCTTCTGATTAAAAGACTGTAAAATATTTTTGGAGGAAATATCAATTTTTTCAATATGAACAATAAGGATATTAATGAAGAAGGGATATTTTTAATAGTTTCTCAAATAACATGTACAGTAGTGTCTCTCTAAACTTCTGTTATTTAAATATTTTCATGGAAAAAATGGTTCATTTTTCTAAAGATTTAAAAGTTTGCAAAACCTATAATTTGTATTTGCCTTCTCCTTTCAAATCTTATACAACATCGCTAGGCTAAAGGAAACATAATAATACTTCTGCTTGAAAAACGGTGTTTGTACGGAAGCCCGTTGGTGCCACGTACAAAAAATATTTTATCTTGCGGCCGCAAATTATTTGGCGGCCGCCACTTATATATCTGGCGACCGCTATATAACATCTTGCGGCCGCCACATATCTATCTGTCGGCCGCTACATAATATTTGGCGGCCGCCACATACTTGATGCGCGTGCATGTTTTAACGTGTGATTTCAGTGGTGGATACAGTGTGAAAATCAACCAAACTTGTAAGAGATTTAGGACCCGACACTCCAAACCGCACTTCTAGTAGATATGTTTTTGCATAGAGCAAAAATAATATTTGATTTGAATGCAAGTAGTTGTATAGTGTTTCGGCTATTAAGAGGCCTCATCAGGGGTTATGAACATAAATCATGGTGTTAGTTTTAGGTGAGACGGGATTATCTCGTCACCTTTATTCTAATGTTTGCTGTAAGCTCTATGATTGGTTGAAAATTAAATATTTTTTTTTATTTCTGGATTTCCAAGAATAGTGTTCCAATATTTCTTTTTTATCCTTAAATTTTTTTATCAATAAGCAGCGGTTGTGTCAACATCCATATTTTAAACCCAATAAAGATACAATAACAATCACATTTTGCAAAATAATTTATGTGGCCGCCGCCAAATAAAAAGTGACGGCCGCCACTTAATATCTGGCGGCCATCAGATAAAAAATTTTTCGTACGTGGCACCAACGGGCTTCCGTATGATGTTATACTGTTGTAGTTATGGATTTGACTTTCCTTCGATGATTAATTGGATTAAATATGCCCCGTGGGGATCCGGGTTAAAATTAGGTCCTCAGTACCCCCTTGCTTGTCGTAAAAGGCGACTTAATGGGGCGGTCCTTTGGATGAGACCGTATAAACCGACGCCCCGTGTCAAAGCAGGCGTGGTCTGATAAAATCCCTCCCTGCTCAAAGGCCGTAAATGCCGAGCATAGGCCTAAATTTGCAGCCCTTCACCGGCAATGGTGACGTCTCCATATCAGTGAAATATTCTGGAGAGGGACGTAAAACAGTTTACAATCAATTAATCATCAGTCACTAAATGGCATGCGCCCTGATCCCACCTATAAAGTAATTTTTATTTATTTCTCGCACACTCTTTGCAAAAAGAATGAATACATAGATAAAATTATTGGTGTTCAGCAGGTTTTCCTGGGATATTTAAATCCTCATTCATATTTTGACCCTACGTTTAGGTAGACAACATAAAATAAACTTACCAATCCAGTAGTTTGTAGAGGGATCCCCAAATCCTTCTTTATATTCTGACCATGTTCTGTAAAAATCTGTAGAATTGTCCTGCCTTCTTTGAATTACCTTTAACATATTAATTGAATTTGAATTCGTTTAAAATTTGGTAAGCTTGAGTAATTTTAACGCGTTTACGTACTTACAAAAAATACTTACATCAGCTATAAGAACAAGGTAAAGGTTTCATACAAATTAAGCCCAATGTTTTTCTAAAAAAAGTGATATAAGAAATCAAAATTTATTCTTCCTGAATCATAGGAATTCCCTGTAGTAAAAATACAGAGATCGTTTTTCTCCCAAGACTTCCTAAATGTTAGTTCTGATGTCATTAATTTGTGCATTTTCCCGTATTTTCTTAGAAATTCCAGAACACATCAATTTTCGGTGGAAATGTCTTTCTGTAAACATACTATGCCACCGTTGACCAGAAAGATTATAATATATGTGTTTTTTCATTGCAGTGTACATAATATATCCAAAAATGAAGGTGGACAAAGGTGGCAGATACTATTTCCTAGAGGACAATTAGCACAGAAATGAGTCATTCTGTGGTTTTCTACATTAAACTTAGAAATGTATCAAATTAATGACGTCATATTTCTAGAAACGTCCCCCTTCATGCAATATTCTTCATTGATTTATCATATTTATCTACTCAACTATTGTTAACGCCAATTTCATAACTTTTTAAAAACGTTATATTTCAAGGGCACAATAATGTTCAAACCGTACCGTCCTTTTCTATACTTTGAAAAGGAGAATTAAAAAAAATCTCTCCCTGAATTATTCTCTTAATTCAATAAAAAGTTTTACTAACTGTCCACCCTCCTCCATCAGTTCTCATGTCACAGTAAACAGACTTTACTTCATAGGCCACGGATATTTTGTATACTCCGTTCCTTCCCTCCAAATTCGGATATTTCTGCAAAATGTCCCAACAATCCTTTGGAAGCACTGTGTAAAAGAATATTCAATGTAAACGACACACGTGCTCCTTATTGTAAAGTAGGCTATTCACATTATTTTCATACCTTTAAAATTTGTTCTTATACAAATCTTTTCGTAAAAAGTCTGCCATGTGTAATGTTTGGCAGAGCGGGAATAAAACAAAATCGATGCTTGACCGCTGAGTGAAATATTGGACTTGTGGTTGAGATGTTGGACCACTTACGTCACACATTGAGTGGAGTATAATCTCATTTCCATTTGTAAGTATTTTACAGTGACGGACCTGGGATTTGTATCATGGATGATAGTTTTCTTTTTAGGTCAAAACGCATGTTGCCCTCAAAGTCAGTAAAAAAAAAATTATTGTTGACTGACTGCCATTTCAGGGAGAAAACATCTTCTTATTTATGTCTGCCGTCCTATCATTTTCTTTTTGGAAATAAATAAACAGTAACTTTTTATACTCTACCAAGTTAAAAAATAGACAGAAATTAATTAACCCAACTCCTAAGGATGAGGAGGAAATATACTAGTCAAAACTTACAATCCTAACAACCAACATATTACTCCTATCGTTCAAAATCTGAACGAAGTCCTTCAAACAGACGAAGAAATGTCAATTGTTCTTTCAAAATATAGCTTTATAAAGATCCAAAAAACTTCCAAAAAAGGTAAATACGTGATCCAAAATCAATCATGACTATTCGGTCTGATAAAAATAATTGTTAATTTATCATTTTTGTGTAGAAAGTTCAATTTTGAACGCTTGTGTTAATTGTTCTCTTTCAAATTCGGTTTAATAGTCTACACATAAACATAATTTGAAAGTATACCTTTTGACAAGATCCAGCTGGATTCATTTTTATTCCTCCAAAAAGCTTGCAGTGTTTCATTCACAGATCTTTCTAAAGCGTCCTCTGTATATTTATAAGGTTCCAAAAGACTGTTCACACTGCACTTCTGTAATGTTACATTCATTTCATTTATTAGGTATTTGAGTTCCTCAATTTGGGGGCTTTTGACAGAGACTGATTGAGATTCATTTAAAACCTTCATTTCCTCTATAGTGTTCTCCAGTAATTGGTTTTTCGTCTCCAAGTTCCGTTAGTCTTTTGCCATTTCACTAAATATCACCTTTATAACTTGTATATCGTTTTTGCAGTCCGTGGCATCCATTACAAGACTTTGTATTTTTTGTACCATAGAGAAGCGGACCAGACTTTCCTGATTCAGAATGTCACGTAGAACATTAGAAGGCTTACCGGATACAGTACTAGGGAGCAAACCATTTTTATCAAAAGCTTCGTTTACAAGTAAAGATAATTCACCAAATGTTCCATACAGAAACAAAGGGAGAAGTAAACACTTTACTTGTAGGGCACCCATCTTTGCAGTAAAGTAACTTCTTTTGTGTGAGGAGGCAATGGGCTTTAGCAATGTAATCAACTCATGAAGCACTGAAATAGTAATTGTTTTTATACTGAAAAGAATGATTTGATACCTCGAGAGGCTTCCAAATACACAATGTAGTCTTTCTATCCAGTATATAATTACTAAAAAAATTGTCATAGAAAAAATGACTTGATACTTGACTGGCTTACATAAATAATGTAATCCTTATCCAAATTGAAAACGCTATCATGCTTATGATATATCAAAAATTTTGAATTAAAAAAAAAAAAAGAAAGAAAGATATGTAAGTGTGTTTGCTAAAAAAAAAAAAAAATTATGCTTGAAATTTGATAATTGAGAAAATTATTCACATCATTATAAGCTTAATCTGAAATAGTACTTGGTAAGAAAACATTTTTGTAGATACATGTATCTTTCAGACAAATTCAACTGACCAAAGTTCCATTCATGTAAAGCCAGTGTTTTTTTTTACAACTAAATATTTTTATAATACTTCGAAAGCTTTTAATTGTCAGTAACCTTTGATATTTAATTATTTCACATACAAAAATGACCGTTAAACATATGATTCAAGATATGTTTTCAAATTAACTTTGATCAATGCATAGGACTTGTGACGGATGTGACCGGCATAATGTCTACGACGGACGGACATGCACACGGACAGACGGACGGACGGACATACCGATTATAGTATACCCTCCAACTTTTCAAGCGGGGGTATAGTAAATGAACATTTGAATACATCATTGTTATAGCATTAGAAAATTCATCCTATACAAATCTATGTGAAAAAAGTCTAACATTTCTAATGTTTTGCTGAGCGGGCATAAAAAAAATGTTTTACCACTGACACCCCTACTAATGTTATTGCGATTTAAATTCAGGACACGTGGTTTAGGTTTACCTATTCAAAGGTTATAATGTAGAACCGGTTTTATAAATAAAATTGGCAGTAAACAGGAAATTGCTAAAGTCTGTTTCCTCTGAAAACATGTCCTGTGAAAAAAGTGATACCACACTTTCTGAAAGACTTTCATGATTTTCAACAGAAATGGGTGGCTAAAAGGAAAGGGAGGATAACAATTCATACATCTTATCATAATTTACTGCAAAAATTACAGCCCAATAGCGACCGATACGCTGGTAAAAAAAAATGTTATATCATCTACACTGACAAACCTTTGTTTGCCTTATATGGCTATTGCTATTAATGCGCACAGAGGATCTTACCACGAGCAACTGACCAATTGTAGATTGAATACGTTTACGCCAAATAAATGTTTACATATTACTTCGAACACGTGGTTCAGTTCAATCTATGATCATGTCAATGGAGTGCAAAATAAAACAAAATGTTCTTATGAACAAAATGCAAACATAAGAAACTATGAAAGATATCACGGGGCTCACGGGCGTTCATAATTTGTTGTTAACTAGAGAAAAATATGTTTTATGAAATGTATTCGTAGTAAGTGTCAAGTTCAGAACACCAGCACTCCAAGGATAAGGAAAACGAGCACCTTCTCGTATGCATTTAAATGGACAAAACATTTTTTACGTAACTATACTCGTTATCACGTGTATTGACCACGGAATCTTACAATTGTATTCACCGTACAATAAAGGGATTTATCAAGCGTAAAATTCCTGTAGTATTCGCAGTAACCCATAATGCAATTCTCATTCAGCTCATTTGTCAGTTAAAGTCACATTGGTGCCCCACTTGCTAATCTGACGCCAAAAAATAAAGTCCCGGTTCCCATGCAAAATATTTGTCCAAAAAGAAAATCAGTTTTAATTCATGACAGCAGAAAATTATAATATCATAAAGAATATTTATAATTTAAACTTGAATGAATTCAAGAGAGATCTATTGAAGTACATTTCTACAGAATGATATTATAGGGCGGTGAAAACTGAAACGCAACATAACTTTTCTGTTTGCCATGTCTCCACGTGCTAGTCACTTCCTAGCCACATTTCCGTGAATAATTTACCCTATCTCGCTGAAATCTCGCTAACTCTCGCCAGAGCCACTGTCAGAGCTACTTTGAACTCATCGGATTTTATAATTTGCAGAACACCGAAAAAGGAAATGTTCCGAACACATTAGTAGGGGTGGCTGAGTGAGATGTTGAACCGGTCGTTGAAAATTGGGACCGCTTACGTCACAGAATGTGCGGAGTTTAATGTATATTATTTGCTAATTGTGTATACTGGGAAATCCCCCCACTTCTCGCAAACGAATTTAAAACGGTGCGAATTAAAAAAACGCTGTATAATTTAATAAATTGAACTGTTACTAAGCGAATTAAAGCTATGGCAGATCAAACAGTCTAGCTTTGTTTAGATGTTGTTCATGTACCTGGTAATGCATTTCTAGGTGATTCTCTGTTTGACATTTAAAGGTCATCAGTACGAAAGCCCAGAAGGCTCATTCGAGATTCGAGGTTCGAAATGCGAAATTTGAGATTCGAAAAACGAGATTCAAAATTCGAGATTCGAGATTCAAGATCCAGATTAACCAATCAAAAGCGGGATCAACATTTGATTACTCCCCTTAAATCTGATTTTACTATCAAGAAATCGTTTGATATATTTATAACAAATGAGTCATTTGATTAAATTACAATGCAAGAAAGAGTATTATATATATTAGAAGGAAATTTAAATAATCATTGGATATTTGATCAGCAAGATATACTTCAATTTATATTATGGCTTCTTAAATATTAAGTAGATTACATATATCAGGAGTATATAAATTTTTGTATTGTCTACTTTGTTTCCGGAGTTCATGACATATAAATAAAGTTATAAATAAGTGTCAAATGTCTAAAGATTAACAATAACCCCACTCCTACCCACCCCACCTGCTTCTTTTTCAAATCACACTGAAATTGTCACTTTGTAGTATTGAAAAACAAAAATCTCGTTCGTTTTCCTGATAGAGGAAATACATAAAAATTAAGTATTTAATTACTTATCTTCATCTAAGGCTTTGATTTCTTGCATTAATAAAAAATTGTTTATACAATACAGATTGGCAATATGAATTAAAATAAATACGGCATTTATTTTATCTTATATCAATAGTGGATGAGTCTAAATTAGATGCGGAACTATAGCGTTATGGTTTTAAAATTTAGTCTCTGGCCATACCGTTATGACCAAAGACTAAAATATACTCGTGAAACCTTATAACGCTACAGTTTGATTCAGCAGCCAAGTCTCCTGCATAAATGTACCCTTTATGAATGTAATGAAATATACCCTTGAATTACTGTGCATTGTATAGACGATTCATAATTCTTGTATTTCATAACTAATTATAATCAAATATAATATTCTCCCTCAGCAATGATCTGATTAAAAAAAAAGTCGACCTACTTCTTCCGCAAGTCAACGATAAGACCATATAATATTCAATAAGTACGTATTTACTATTTTGTTTAATGAGAAAAATAAAATTATATATGTATTTTTCAAAATGTAATCCAAATTTTATTTTTATTTCGTTTTAATACATCGTTTTTTTCTTGCATTATCATTTTAGCAAATAACCAATTTGTTATAAATATATTCAACGATTTCTTGATAGTAAAATCATAGCAAAGGGGAGTAATCAAATGTTGGACCTGCTTTTGGTTGGTAAGTTTGGATCTTGAATTTCGAAACTCGAATTTCGAATCTCGTATTTTGAAACTTGAACCTCGAATGAGCCTTCCGGGCTTTCGTACATCAGATTTTGACTGCATGGATTCCTTGTCAGCAAATAAAATTTATCATTGAGTCAAATGCTGACTGACGTTTTCATTTTCTAATTGTCAGTTCATTATTTCTATACTGAATTTACGACTGATTTTTTTCCCGTTATTTCCCGATCATGACAAGAAGCACACGGCGGGTTTGATCGGTAAGCAGGAGATGCTCATTCCTCCATGTCACCTGATCCATGTTTGCTCTGCTCCTATTTTGTAATGTTTTATGGACTTTGATATTGAATACTGTTCGTTATCTCCATATCCTTCTTTAAAATAAAATAACATAGATTTCTACAACACTTATTCCACTCTGAGAAAGTGTTCAGATCTTCCTTTTCTAAATCAACACTGACTGGCGTAATCTTCGAGA